CAACCATCATAAAAATCCATCAATATAATACCATATTTCATAATCCCACATCAAACTCATTCAATCATATCATAAGTATTATAAATCATCACTAAGAAATCATAAAGTATCACAAACATGCCAAAAAGGGTTCCCAAAACGTCAAAAACGTAAACTAAAATAGAATACCCACGACGGGCACTGTATATCTTGACAACTTGATCTCTACTCACTATTTTGACCATAACTTTAGTTATACACATATTTTTTGAGTGATTCCAACACCATTGGAAAGATAATACCCAAGGCTACAATGTTTGTGAAGAACACGAAGCCTAAAAATGTCGTTAAGGTCACAACGAATGGCTGACAACACAAAACTTAATATTTTGCGCACTAGAATGGAGACTGAACTTATAACTTACATAACTCAATCAATTCTTAACATTTTTATAGGACTCTAGAGTCTAAATAATAGCCTCAAGTGTCTAATTTTTAACCCAACAAATGGAAATTGATTTGGTTAATAACATAGAAAGATGTTACAAAAATACTAAGGTACATCCATAAGTAAAATCTCCAAATTACTCATTAATTCATATAATTAAGGGTGCTCATCAATTTACAAGAATCCTAACTTAAGCACATCCCAATGAATACAATTATCATCTAGAACTTCAATTTTACCAAACAATATAACAACCACATATATAAATCAATATAAAACCTTATTGAATCACCAATTTCACAAAAAAACATACCAATTGAGAAAATCTCAATCCCTCATGAACCCTAACTCATAGGCACATTTAAAAGGAATTCTATTCTACATCCAGAGCATCAATTTTAATAATTCATGCCAGAAAAACAATTATAAATTTATAAAATTATTCAAATTATCAAATTCATAAATAGAAAATGAATAGCAAGACCTAAGAATTTCATGGACTTCCCCCTCTACCCATTCCCTCTTGTAACTACGCATATGAAGTACTCTCTTTTCCCCTGTACCTTGTTACATTGATCAGAACAAATCTGATGCAGTTTTGGGATTGACTCTAAGCACTCCTCCTCAAAGCTCCCTTTTTCTCTTTTTTTCTTTTTTTTTCTTAATCCTTTAGAACACCAAACGAGGCAGATAAGGTTAACTTTTCCTAACCCCTTTCTTAAAATAATTCACTAGCCCGAGTCAACTCAACCTGCTTTCCTTCCTGACCCACTTCTTTCACTACTAGAAAATCACTATTCAACATCGTCAATTTTATATCGATTTAGGTAAAAACGATGTAAAAATCGAATGCGGTGGCATTTTTGTAAATAAGAGTATAATGTAAAGCATATTTACATCAGTTATGGCTGAGACCGATGTAAATATCGAGCATTTTACATCATTTTTGGTAGAACCGATGTCGTTTTAAATGCACGGTGGCAATTTTGTAAATAATTACAAATACATCTACATTGGTTCACCCAGTACCTGATGTAGTATTGAGACACATATAGTGGCTCTCGTTGGAGCCCTTTTTCCACGAAGAACATACTATTCTTCTTGTTCAACAAAATCCATCCTTGAATCGCCATTCTGTTCAGTTTTGGGTACACCTAACATTATGGTGAAGCCTCCGCCGCGCACACCCGCCGCGGCGCTAAAACCCTAGGCCAGAACTCTGGATATCAGAATCCTCAAATGGGGCAGAACAGTGGTGTGAGACCTCACCCTGGTGCTAGTGCTGGTGCTCCTTACATGGGCCATCAGGTGAGTGATTGGTGTCTTTTTGCCTTTTTATATTCCATATTTCGCTATGTTTGTGAATTAATATGGTTTGTATGATATCATGATGCTTGAATGTCCCTTTTTGGGAAACTAAGAAATACATGATTTGGGGTTTTTGGTATACAATAGGTGGATGAGTATTAGTAATAGTTAACCTGTAATCATTATCATTATCATTATATATGAAAATTCTTGATATTGTGAAGGAGTTGACCTGATTTGATAAAGCTTATTCTTTCACTCATGGTTGAACTCTAGTGGCATGCTGATTGTGTTTGATTGCATTGAACTCGATGAAGTCATGTTATCCATAACCAATTTACTTTGTTTTGCAGCAATATCTAGTTTGATAATCATTTTCTTATATATCCTTTCTTTTTTTATAAGGATAGCGATGTTGTAGTATGATGGTTGGTCTACCTTGTCTGTTTTATTATAATTATGATATATGACTGCATACTCACCCGTTGTTGAACTGCTGTAAATTATTTTGGCAGTGAGTTGTTACTTTTATATTTATATTGTGATAAAAAAGGGACATGATATTCAGCACTTCTAATTATTCATTCCATTTTTTCTGAGTTTTGTTTCTATCAAGTTGTTGGATCTACTCCTCTTCTCTGTGAATTTTTTGAGGCTTGCATTTAACTCTTACCATCTACTGCCCAAATTTATAAATTTTTTAATAAATAATTACGTTGATTAGGATTGTAGTTCGAATTTGAAACAATTATTTCTGTTGAAAATCTATTTTGCAGTGGTTAGGAATGCTCGGCACAATCATTGTTATTTATGCATGAGGTTTGTGATGTGATTTTGAGAACTTATTCATGTTTAAATGTTCTCAATAACTAGGGTGAAGATGTGCATTAGTTATTTATTTTGTAAGATGCCAGTTTTTACTAACTTAAGGTTTCGAATTTCCCTTGTTTAGAACTGGTCTAAAACTTCTTTGCTATCTAAGATGAAAGATCTTGCTGAGAGAAGAAAGCTAGAAGACTTGACAATCGGCCCAGCCCTAACAATAAGTCTTGCATCTGTGCCATTTGCCCCTTTTAGCTTATTGAACTAGGATTTAACATTTTAAGGTGATAAAAGTTGAAACTGCATTAACCACGACCTTGGCATGCATTAATCAAGTCAATTGTGGAGTTTGCCCACCGACTATCCGCAAGGATCCACGCACCTTCCCGAGTACTTGGTTAAGGGAATAACCCTCGACCTCATACCCCGCTCCAACACTAGCTAAGGACTTAGAGGAGACTCACCCAACCCAGTGGCCTATCTGAGCACCACTCTCCCAAAACCAGTGGCCTCCCAGAGCACCACTCTCATATATCAGTGGCCTATCTAAGCACCACTCTCAAGAGACTCTATGTGAGCTTTTCCAGTTCGAAAATATTTTTCCTCTCCTCAAGTCCTAGGCTAGCTCATGCCATAGGCATCACATGCAATCATGCATCATACATCATAATGGTCTGCCCACCATTATGATCAATAAACATACTCATATGAACATATACTCATGCCATATCATATCTAAACATTCATACGTATCATCACAAAGCATACATATGAATCACACTGCACTATACATCATATATCATACATACATGATCTACTATTTCAACGTTAAACATGCATAAGCATCATACAATTCAAAATAAACTTAAGGCTCACATGCATTCAGCCTATGCTTCAAAATCCTCCTTTTTCTCGAAACCCCAAAAATGAGATCTTCTTCAATCCATCTATGAATTCTTAACATTCATACATCAATTGAGTTTCTAAACTCACATGCAATCAACAACAAACAATCTAGCTTCCCTTACTTGAAGATTGGCTCAGATAGCCAAAAACTGAACAAAAGTAGAATTTCCCTTCGAGGCTCAACTCGGAACTTCAATCCACCCAAAACAAGCTTTCTAATCTGAATTTCAAGAAAAGACAGAAGGAGTTAGTGATCTAGAGGAGAAAAGGAGTCATACAGAGAAATTTGGGAGAGAAAGGAGCTCACTGACCCAGAGACCTTCTCTCTAAAACTTCTCTCTAAAAACTCCAAAACTCCTGAAGGCCCCCAACCCCCAAGTGGCCAGAACGGCCCGTACCCGTTCCGAACTCCCAAATCACGCACAAAACCCACACCCAGAACGGCCCGTTCTGAAATCAGAACGGCCCGTTTCGAGACTCATTCAGAACGGTCGGTTCTCCCTCCAGAACGGCCCGTTCTCCCTTTCAGAACGGCCCGTTCTCCTTCCAGAACAGCCCGTTCTCCTTCCGGAACAGCCCGTTCCAGAACCGTTCCCAACTTAAAAATATAGGCTAATTTAATAGTTTGGAACGGCCCGTTCCAGATTGGGAACGGCCCGTTCTGGGCTACTAAATCAACCAAAAATATTTTTTTTTAAACTACGTTACATTTCTTACCTGAGATAAGATTAACGTAGTACAACTGATTAAAAAAAAAGATTAACATGAGTACACCATTAACTTTTTTACCTTAGCCATCATACTAAATTAGAAATTATAGAAGCTCTTAGGGCGTGTAGTTAATTAATTTAAATTTTTGTAATGTTTTTAATTATTCTCTGAATTAGTAAGCAAAAATTATTTTATTCGTTTTATATTCTTAAAATAAAATATCAAATGTATTTATTTTTAATATTTTATGTATTTAATTTTTATTAAGAAATTGTTGAAAAACATTTCAGATAGAAACATTTGTATTGCTCAGGTAGGTGGAAGTGGTGGTCGCCGTTGGCCGTTACTTGCATTTAGACACTTTTACTCATTTATATGTGTTTTTCTCTTCAATAAATAGCATCTTTCTCATTGCTCTCATTTTAATCTTATCAAATGAAGATGAGAAAAAAGTTATAATAACGGGAAACTGATATACCAACTAACACATTTAATAAACTCGGTGGTGTGTGTACGTTTGATGTTAATTTTAAACATATTTTACCTAAAATTTATAAAAACAAACTTTTGTTTGAAAATTAAGAACATTTAAAATTTAGGCTTAATTTTATATTTCAATTGTTTTTGGCCATTGATTACGAATCTTAAGTAAATTTGTAAGATTAACTCTAAAACTATTAATATTTAAATAAAGTTCTTTTTTTTTAGAAGATCTTTCAAAAGGGGATTCGTGAGTTTAAATTCCTATTATTATAAGAAATATTTGATCACTTGAGATTAATAATAATCTACTTTCAATTTGTTGAGAAACATAATTGTATTACAGATTTGGACCCGCTGGAGACGCTAAAGGTGCAGGAATTGGAACACCGGAGGCTATAAAACTTGTTTGGTCTTGTCACAGAGAAATAATATATGATGTTGGGCCAGTGCCAAAGGATTGGAAAATTCCTCCACCCACTTGAAAAGGAAGTCCTATGCGGGAACAATGAAATTAGGAATGTAGAAGGGGAGGAAGTATGTTAGCATGTAGGGTATTTCAAAGTCCATCTTTGACGATTTCAGTTTATTTTTTTTTTTTATACAAGTGTATTTGATCTTTTTTCATTTGTTAGTGGTTTTGGTTTGATCCACAAACTTGGTATTTTTGTTCATTTTTAATAATAGTTTTGTTAGCACTTCCACGCTTTTTCAAATATATGCTTGGGAATTATATGTGTTTATAGGTTAAATAAGAAAAAACCTAAAAATAAACAATTTTTTTCAAAAAAAAGAAAAATACAAATCTACATCAGTTCAACTATGAACAAATGTAGATGAGGATATAATTTTAATCAGTTCCCCTAAAATCGATATAGATTAGGATATAAATCTACATCGGTTCTCAGCAAAACCGATGTAGATTTATGTCCTAATCTACATCGGTTCTGAGAACCGATGTAGAAATCTATATATTTTTTACGTTGCTCTATTATACATCGGTTTTAGAGTCAATGTAGATGGCTTCACGAAACCGATGTAGAAAACGTGTCTTGTAGTAGTGTTTTTTCCCAAAATAGTTAAATAAATAAAATAAAATAATATTCCCGTATAAAACTTTCCAAAGGTATTGACTGAGAAGAAACCTAAAAACATGGATCAATTGGATTGGGATGAGTTATGGGAAAAAGGGTTGCGGGAACCATACAACTCTGTTTTACAAACGAGGTGCAGTATCATGTTATGGACTTGATGTCTTCGGTGGAGGTATGAAAGAAATTGGAGAGTTAATATATGTCCAGTCCTTAATGAATAACATGTGTGCCAAGAAAAGACTATATGGGACGAAAATGTAAGAGGGAGTTGATTTGCAATAACCCATCAATGTCTTCAATCAGACAATCCGTGATTTACTAAGACTCAATGTGAAGATTGATGATGAGGATAAGGCAATGATCCTATTATATTCTTTGCCATGTTCTTAGAAACACTTGCAGACTACCTTTATATACGAAAATTAAACAATCAGCCAAGAAGAGATCCTTGTGGCACTTATGTCTCACAATCAAAGGAAGCAAAATGTAGAAGAGGGTTCTCAAGGCAAGGGTCTATATGTGAAAGGGAATCATGTATGTGGAAAGATGCAAGGAAGGACAAGCTTTGTGAAGAGGAAGTAAACTTTTGGAAGTAGAAAGACAGTGATATGTTATAACTGCAAATAGAGGAGACATTATAGGAGTGATTATCTAAACTATAAGAAATCTGGTGAAGGATCATCTCGTTTTACGAATGTGGCAGAGGTCAGTGACTCAAATTACTATAATGAGGGAGATGTTCTTTTTGTCTCATGTAGTCAACTTATAGATGCTTGGATCTTTGATTTTGGATGTTCTTATCATATGATGCCAAATAGGGAGTGGTTCACCATATATAAGTCAAAAAATTTGGTTATGTGTCTATTTAGGTGATTGTAAAACTTGTGGTATTGTTGGAATATAACAAGATAAAGTTGTTATGGATGATGATGGTGTGAGGATGTTGTGTAATGTAAGGAACATCCCTGACTTGAGGAAGAATTTGATCTCGCTTGGTAACTTACAGGCAAATGGTTTCAACTATAGGACAAATGGAGATTGGGATACCCTCAAAGTGTGCAAGGGAGCCTTGAGCATGATGAAAGGACAATAGAATCTAGGAAATATTTACATACTATTGGAGAGTATAGTTGTAGGTGGAGATATGCTTCTATTGAATTAGATGATGATGCCAAAAAAATTATGGAATATGTGTTTGGGTCATCAGATGAAACACTCAATAATTTTTATACTGATTCGTCTCAACCACTGAGTCTACGTCTAGTTCTCAATCCAACTAGATTGAGTTCCACTATCTTAAACAACATACAAGTATTCTTTCAATAGGATACTTCTTGCTCAAACCTAAGTGGTCTTTAAATTGTCTCTTTAAGCAATCTACCCAAGTATTTTTTTCACACAAATTAAAGCCTCTTCAGGCTTCAACACCAAGTATTCTTTTACAGACAAGTCTCTCTAGCTAGGTTGAAACTAGTATTTTTTTTACAAACAAGTCTCTCTAGGTTCAAGTGCTCTTTTACAAACAAACCTCTAGGCTCAACCAAGTATTCTTTTATAAACAAGTTTCTCCAGGCTCAACCAAGTAATATTTTACAGATAAGCCACTCCAAACTCAGTCCTATAATAATAATTATAGGCTTAAATATGTTTAAACTACCTCCAATTAGCTCGATTTTCAGATTACTACTTTAAAAAAAAAATTGTTAAAATTACCTGACAAATTTTTTTTTAATTTAGTACCTGACATTAGTTTCCTCTGTTAAATAATGACGTGGCAAACGGACTGCCACGTCATCCAAGGGACTGCCACGTGGACATGGTGATGACGTGGCAAACACTTTTGGGTGATGACGTGACAGTCCATCTACCATGTCATCACTTGATAGAGGGGGACCAACGTTAGGTACTAAATTGAAGAAAAAAATTAGTCAGGTATTTAAAACAAAAAATAATAAATTATCTGCCACATCATCACTTGACAGAAGGGGACCAACGTCAGGTACTAAATTGAAGAAAAAAAAATTAGTCAGGTAATTAAAACAAAAAATAATAAATTAATAAGTAGTAATCTGAAAACCAACCTAATTGGAGGTAGTAATCTGAAAAACTGATCTAATTGAAGGTAATAATCTGAAAACCGACTTAATTGAAGGTAGTAATCTGAAAACTGACCTAATTGAAGGAGACTTGACTCCGCTACACCTTTTTTTTATTACATATGATGGAAACGTAAAAAAAAAAAAACAAGATTTGAAGTGAAAGTAGCTAGAATTTCGTTTGGAGGAGACTTGATTTAGCAAATAAATTTTCAGTACTTCCATATAAGTGAAAGATACAAAATGAAAAAAAAGAAAAAAAATAATATATATATATATATATAAATATTAAAAATTTAAATGAATATTTGTGGCATTAACTTTCCTATCTTACAAGTAAAACTTATAAGATTTGAAATTAAATTTTTATTTAAAAACTTATTATTAGTAAATATAAATATTACACACATATATATTATATATATACTAAGTTTTAATATAATTCCATAATTTTCTTTTTTTATAATCAAGTACAATAGTTTCCATACATGATCAATGGGAAGCTAATTTATGTGCATTTGTTGCTTTTGTTTCTAGTTACAGGTGTTTTATGTCTTCTTCATTTTATTAATCTTCACTTTTCTCTACTTCTTCATTGTCCACTATCTTTGTTGGAATTTTTGGTCCATCTTTTATGACAAACCAAAGTTTGAAGTTGATGGATTATATGAATATTCGCATACGTTCCTTTTACTCGTGTAATTTATGCAATCGAAATATGGTGGCCTCAAAATAGGTTGTCCTTCAGTAACAATTTTCAGATTACTACTGTAACACCCTAGTTTTCAAAAAGGTTATTATTATTATTATTATTATATGATATTCGGTTATAATTATTTTAATAATTATAGAGGAATATTATTTTGTACGTTTTAAATAATTATTGTTTTGGACAATTATTTTGTATGTATTAAATAAGTATTTTTATTAGCGTTTTTGAATAAATGTTTATATGTTTTAATAGAAGGTTGATTTTATATGATATTTTATTATTGAAATTATATTATTATATTTTGGGTCAGAAATATATTATTATTATTGAGGAAAAATATGTTATAATATACATGTATTTATTTTATTTAATTATTTTGAGGAAAAAGAGAAGTGGGTTAGAAGAGAAGGAAAATGGGTTGGGTCGACCCAACCCAATGGATTATTTTTTAAGAAAAGAGTCAGGTAGCGTTAACCCTATCTGTCTCATTTGCGTTCTGAAGGGTTAGAAAAAAAAATAGAAGAAACAAAGAGCTCTAAGAAAGAGTACTCAGGAACGATCTTAGATCACACCAACACCATTCGTCTTCTGCTCATCCAAGTAAGGGGGAGTGAAAAACCTCGCTCGAGGTATGAGAATAATTGTTGGGTAGTTGGATTGGCCCTCAATCCCTTACCTGATGCATGCTTCTAGGAACATGCAAAGTATGAATAATTCTGTTTTGCCTTCTGATTGCTTTGTTGTGTTCCTTGTTGGTTGTAATGCATGAGTATGTGGTTAATTTTGAAAATGAATATGTTTTTATATGAATTAGAGTGCTCTATGGATTCATATGGGAAACCTTATGAAAAAACGGGCAAAGTATGAATGTTTTCTATTTTCCCTTCTGATTGTTCTGTTGTGTCCCTTGTTGGATGTGATGTATGGGTATGTGATTAATTTTGAAAATGAATATATTTTGATATGAATTAGAGTGCTCTGTGGGTTCCTACGGGAAACCCTATGAGAAAACAGGCAAAATATGAATGTTTTGTTACGTTCCTTGTGTGATGTAGAGAGTAATATGCATTTGATTTCAAAATTATATATGTTTTGATATAAATTAGAGTGCTCTATGGGTTCTTGTGCGAAACCTTATGAAGAACAATTATGAGTATGACTATGTGATAAAATAATACATTATTATAAATACTTATGTTATGTATTAAATTCACAACATATTCTGTTTCTTTATCTTTATCCATAAAAAAAAATATTGTTAACGATATATTTGCGAAAATATTATATAAGAAATATATAATTATTATTATATAAATTGGGCGTTAGAATCGGGCGTTACAATTTGCCCAATGCCCGACATCATTAAGGTAGAGAACATCTAGCTCGCCCGCGCCTAGTGCCAATCCACCTAACCCGACATAGATGAGACAAAAAGTCCATG